ACAGGTTTTGAGTTGTGGGGAGATGGCAGAATGGAAATCTCTTTGGGATGGAAATCTGTTACTTTCAGGAAGGAGGCTGGGAAATGCAGGGAAGGATGGAAGTGGGTCAAAAAGCCCCTCAGCTGAGGTAAAAATACTTATGTTATCCTCCAGCTCTACTTGGACATGATAGTTAGCTCTAAAAGTAGCTAAGTTAAAAGCTTATGGTTGTCATTTCGAGCTGACCAAGACTAGATTTAATTCATGGCCCTTGAGCAGATTGACTGTTAATGTATTATGTGTCTCCAGGGTGCTCATCTCTTTCAAGGAGGGGAAATCCACTTAAAGTGTCTTTGCTAAAGCAGTTACTTGAACAGAACCTGATGGCATAGTGGTTTGGTAGTATCTGTGGAGCCTTTCACCTTTTAGTTGATCAGGGGATGGAGCCAGGCTCTTCTCAGTGATGCCCAATGGTAGGACAAGGGGCAGTGGGTGTAGCTGGAACACAGGAGGTTCTGCTTAAACTTGAGAAGAAACTTCTTTACAGTGAGGGTGTTGGAGCCCTGGAACAGGCTGCCCAGGGAGGTTGTGGAGTCTCCTTCTCTGGAGACATTCAAGACCCGCCTGGACGCCTTCCTGTGTAATTTTGTTTAGGTTCCTGCTTTGGCAGGGGGATTGGACTAGATGATCTTTTGAGGTCCCTTCCAATCCCCAACATTCTGTGATTCTGTAATATAAATTAAATTTTCATTATCTGACAGTCCATTAGGAAACAGACCAGACTGGTATTGCTGGTAGTTCTTTGGGGGCCAGGAGTTTGTAGGACTGCAGTAGAAGCTAGAAACTAACGAGGTGTGGAAGCTGAATAGTTTGCCACCTGAAGCGGTGATCTTTCTTGGTCAGACTTGAGGCTCCCCAGGGAGGCAGTGAAATTCAATTTATCAGCCTACTGCAGGGGCTCTTAACTGCTTTGCAGCCAGATGGAGGCTCTCATTTTTCAGTATTGTCAGGCTCCTGGGCATCTGTCTTTTTTTAAAATAAAAAAAAATAAAGTTGACAGAGGAAGGTACGCTACACTGCAGTTTTCTTCCCTTCATGCAGTTTTCCTTCTCAGTTGTTACAGTTTGCTGCTGCCATAAAAGATGGGAAAGGGGGAAAGACTGGTCTGGTGAGCAGTTGGAAGGGCATGGAGAAACATGTGCTTTAATCCCACAGAGTCCAGGTGGCCTGGGGCAAGTCACTTAAATATTTCTTATGTATTTCATAAATAAACATGGGGTAATATTGATTCTCTTTCCTTCTTTGTTGTCTCACACTCTGGCACAGCCTGTTTTCAGTGGCAAACTCTCAGGTGGACTGCCTAAACCACTCAAAGGGAAAGATTTATGGGGCAATTAGAAAAGAACCAGACTTGTTACATCATTCTCATTGTGGACTATTATGTACTTTACCTCTTTGATCGTAGCTTTATGGGTCCCTTGTGCATCCTTGAATCTAAAGCCTGTGCTTAGGTATCAAACCCTTCAGTGTCCAGGGAGTGTAGCTGGGATAATTGGAAATGAACTTGCTGCAAAATCAGGTCTGTCAGTGTGGGTTTTGAACCTGATGCTGAAAGGAGATGAGCATTCTCCATCCCCACTGAATTCATTATTGAAGGTAAGTAGTATGTTCTTTGTTCTACAGCCAGATTAATTCTGTGCTTGGCTGTTGGATTCATGCCTAAGTGCCTAATGCTAGAATTAATCTCTCATGTAAACATACTGTGCATACATTTTCTGGAGTGTTTGATGGTGCAAATAAATACAGCTGCATATGGGCCTTAAAGCTGTCACTGTTTGTTTCTTGATTTAATGTTGTTTTTTTTCTCACCAGTATGGAGTAGTCCTTGATGCTGGATCCTCTCGGACTACAGTCTACGTCTATGAATGGCCAGCAGAAAAAGAAAATGACACGGGAGTAGTAAGCCAAACCTTCAAGTGCAATGTGAAAGGTGAGCTCAAATAGAAGTTCCTTATTTCTTTCTAGCCTCCAAGAAGAGGTTATGTGGAAGCCTATAGCGTTTTGGTTTTGGTTTTTTTGTCACTGTTTTGCTTTTCAGTGCTGAAGAGCAAGAACTGTTAAGACTTTGTCTATGTCTATCAGCATCAGTCCTTTTCCTACTGATAAAGCAGGGTGCTCTAATCTGCAATGGAGAGAGGAAATTGTAGCTAAACTCGATTTACTCCATTGTAGTGCATGATTGGTGCTGGCAGAATTCGATCTAAATAATATCAGGCCCTGTAAATGTTTAGTTCTTGTGTACTGAAATAATTTCTTTTAAAAGAAAAGTATAAAATATATTTTAAAACAGCTTGGAATAAAAAGTCTTTGAGAAGAATGGGAATCCAGCTGTTGTTAGATGTTAGCCATTAATTTTGATGGAGGCAAAAATGGGTGTCAGTTATGCTATAGGAGTTTGACAAATCAGTTTTCATTTTCCAGAAGACTTAGTGATGTTTAAAAAAAAAAAAAATCTTGGCTGTTTGAGTCAGATTTCCTAGAGAGACAAGGCTTATGCAGTTCATCTGGAATTGTTCTGTAATTACTTGGAAAGAGGCAACCGAGGGGAAATTATGAAAGGCAGAAGGTGAACAGGAAGAGCTTCTCCATACTGCAGCACTAGAAAGCGTCTGATAAAATTGTCTAGTAAAATAGCTAAATTGCTGAAACTGTCTCTGACAGGATGTCGTAGTTGTATCAAACATGCAGGTCTGGCCTTTGGCTCAGGAAGTCCTGTAGTTGTGCACTGCTAGAAGGTGTCCCGTGCCAAGTACCACTGGCTACCTGCCTTATCTGAGGTTTTGCATTGATTCCTCTCAGAGAGAGGATGCTAGACTAGATTGACTTTTGCTCATCGTTGCTCTAATACCTTGTTGTGGTTTCTTTCATAAGAGCTTTTGAATCTCTTGGTCAACTTCAGTTACATTTGACAAACCTTTCAAAGATACCAAAATTCCACACATTTTATGAAGACAGGTGGCCAGGCAATGGTTAGTCAGTAAGGGATCTCTGCAGGAAGCCGAACTTCCTAAATTCTGCTACTCTGAGTTAAACAAGCTTTAGATTATCCTCTAAGATACTGACTTCAGAGGTACTGGTTTGGGTTTGCAAGTTAGGTAAGAGGAGAACGTGGTGCAACTCAGTGCAGACTTTGTTGACCTCTGATAATAATTGTGGTGTTTGAAGAGAATTTTCCCCTTCTTTCGCTCTGTCATGATCATGCAAAATCCTGCATCTCTCTTTGTGTCTGGAAATAGATGTTGGAGATGGTCCCTGAGTAACTAGGAGATGAGTAGAAGGCAATGGTTTCTTAACAGCACCAACATTTCTGTCTCCAGTGTTAAATATATGCGTGGACATTCTTAGCAATTTTAGAACAAGGAAAGAAAAGCAAGTGTAAGGTGCACAGAAGTAATGCACTGTCATGTGCTTGATGGTGTGTCCTTACAGACTGCAGGAATGGCAGCCAGCCTGCTGAGGTGGGGGTTACGCTCCACTAGCTCATGTCTTGACTCCTTAGGAATGTTGCCTTTAGGAATTCTGGTGTGAGAAAAATGCACAGAGAAACTGTGTAATTTTTCTCCTCAAAAAATGACAGAGGAGTACTTTGTGAATTTGTTTTGATTGATTTCTATTTTGTTTTACGTCTGGGGAATACAAAAAATTGCGTAACAAAGGAGTCCAAATTGCTGTGAACTGTTCAGGTCCAGAGGGGCCTTAAACATGCTCAATCAAAGTGCTCCTCATCCTCCAGTGTACAAAATCACCAGGGTTCACTGCTCCAGTCCTGGGTGACTCATGGGCTCATGAGAGAGGTCCCCAGCTAAGCTGTGGGGGGCAGTGGTGAACACATCTGTCAGTGTTTCTTTAGTGGCCCTCTAACCATAACCTTCAGCACTTACATTGGGGGATGGTTCTGGGCGTACTGAGAGGCAGACTT